AATCTATCAAAAACCTTATACTTACATAGTTCACTGTTTACGATTGGTACATGCGGTCTTGGTCAACAAAACAATGCTTTACGAAGTGGCGCGTAGTGGTGTAACAATTATCCCACCTACTTACTCTGCCAACAAGGAAAGAAGACGATCAGTAATTGATACGATATGCATTAGACATGAGATTGTAATACATCCGTGGGGGGTTAATGAATGAGTGTTTCGTAACGTACATGTATTAGGTATAAAGGTATAATTAAAACCCTGCGGAAAGCAATGGGTTATGCAAGTCCAATGTTCCGTCCGCGACAGTAACAGTGTAGTATTGAGACTAGAAACGGATACTCTGGTGCCCCTCCCTGCCCCTGCCATTTTTGCAGAAAGACTACGTAGGTACAGGTTTAGTAGCCAAGCATAAACTAGTAAACTAGACCTGTTTTGGAATCTAGAATGAAGTAGAAAATTTCTTTTCATTTCATAATTTCACTCGAGTTATCTTTTAAATCTTGTATTCATGTGTTATGATTCAACAGATTTAATTAAATTCTTCCTAGTTCCTACATTTACATACATTGTAAGCGAGTACCTACGTCAACATAAGCATGAAGTAACTTTCATAATATCATTATTTAAATGATTATGACATGTTATATTTGTAATTCTGTAAGTAGTAAAAGTAAATAGTAATAGTTTATCTAGTTTGAATACATTCACATCACATGTGAATGTAATCATTAGATTATGAATATTATATTTAAGCTACGATGATATAATCTTAATTTTTATCAACTTGTTATAGGCGGCCGGATTCCGTGTTTGATCAGTAAGCTAAACAAAACACAAAGGCTCGGTGTTGTTTATTAGGTAATCTCACGAATATTCAAATAATAAGTAGTCATAAAGGGAGATCACGCAATATGGGCAGTGAAAGTGGACGCTGTACGGTATACCCGGCTCAAAGCACTCGAAAGAAAGTGGCCTGGATGAATAATCCTTGATTTAACTGCCATTCGTGAAGAGAAAACTTATACAAGTGCATATTTTTATTATACAGTTATGATAATGTAACCAGATATTATTTTTTTGCCAAAACATTTGATTGTCGTGAGTTCTAAGTCACATTCATGAGCAGTAACTAAAGGTCCTTTTGAATGTCTCTAGTATGGCTTGAAACTAGTCGAGTTCCTCGTCAAACAGTTACGTGAATATGCCGAAAACATAATAGATAATTTCGTGTGTTTTGTTTGTAAGAGAACATTTATTCCATAACCTGTAAACACAGTAACATTAAATCATCATATCAGCCACAAGATGTTTACTGCTGAACGTAGGGCCTCATCAATTGAGTTCCAAATGGGCCGCTTGCAAGCGACTTGCATCCAGCGACTGCCTGTGAACTTTATTTGTTTGTTTGTTAACATATCTGCAGACATTACTGGATCTATATGGAATTCTCGTAACACTGACTAGCCGCGGTCAATGTTACTTGATCATAAAATCGAGGATATGTAAAGTACAAGTACCCGCTCATTAAGTCTACAGCAAAATACTTTGAACTTTAACTAATGTGGGTTATAAGCCATAACAAATGTGGGTTATTTGATTAAATAGGTACCTACGCACAACCCTACTTAATGCTCAGAGGTCCTTTGGAAATACTGAGAATTATAACTTGCAGAATCGGTAAGTACTTTTAATACCTAGCGTAAGATAAAAAGAATACAAATTCATTTTCATGTTTATTTTTTCTTACATACTATCTAATAAATGAACGAAAAAATGTTTAGTTCCATTTTATACAATCTCTATCAACATATCTACCTACGTTCGTAGCGGGGTTGAGTTAACAAACCATTAATGAATAAATAAGTAAATGTAATGATGTTTGTTTACATAATCAATCATATTATCTAGTATCCACACTAATTAATATTAAGCCGGCGAAAAATCTGCAGAATTATTAAAGTATATCTAGCATATTTGAGTTAATATTTATTAGCTAGGTAAAGGCGTGTCACACACAGGTATATTTGTGAGTCGGGTAGTCCTTAATCCTAGCCAATGAGAAGAGACACATGGAACTCTGCAAAATATGATAACTTAAATGGAAATAGTTATTAAAATTGAGTTGGTGTCTAAACCAAATAAAAGAGTGAAGTATCTGCTATAGAATATTGCATGTCCACAATTGCTTAGTAAGGCAGGTAGCAGCTGGCGTAGCGTGCTCAAACATGATAGTGATCATCTCCGGCTCACACAAATGAACGTTCCTATGTGAAATGCATTGCTTTGTTAAACTGAAATGCAAAGAATTTACCAGTGAAAAGTGTTTTAGATAGTTAACCTCAAGCACGTTAACCTACAATGAATGAAGCGCAGATGCAATGATATAAACTTGTAGGATACGCAAGTACTCGTGGCATAGTTTGCATTAGGTTTAACAACTGCATTAACTCAATGAAGCAATAATACTAAAAACATTCCCAAAATGGTTTTAAGAAAAAATATAGTTCCTACCACCGAGACTTTTGCTGTTTTGCTTGACTACTGTGCCATCTGGTAAGTTTTATACAGGCAAATCCTATCACTATAAGAAGTGTAGGATTACCTAACCTAACACTGTCGTAGTATCATCTTAAATTCAAAACCTGCAAAGCTCCATGACCTCACTATAACAATACGTAACCGCGTAAAGATGTGTGTAGCTGATTGGTATAACAATAATGTATTGAGCAATTGCATTGTGCTGAGGAGTTATGATAGGCGAGCAAACGCATCGTGCGATACGTACGACCGTCACTTTCCAACAAAGTCAATGAAGCGCAGAGAAAGTGGCGACCTCAACGTCCGTATACAAACTGCCGACTGCCGTCTGTAAAATCCGCTGACTCATAAAACATTCACGTCATGCTTGCAGAGGCAGAATTTATACCTCTAGAAATGGTAATCCTTAAATAAATTATTACGACCGTATTACATGTGCCTTTGACCCTCATTATATTCTATCAATTTTATTTTAACGATTATTTATTTATTACATTTATAGTAAAATAATATTTACATCAGTTGCGCCAACTTACAAAAAACTTTTTTTGTAATAGGTACATAACACTTACTTAATAGTTTGTTATTCAAAGTGACTAATTTTGAAAGCAAATTTTAAACGTTTGCCTTAAATAAATCTGCATTTATTTAGGTAGGTATACATACCCAAAAGAAATGGTAAAAGTTAGCAAAAGTTTTTGCGAAATTTTAAAAGTGAAACTTTTTTCTCGAAATGGTTATAAAAAGCTACGCGGGTACAACAGGTCACTGCGAAACAGTGTCATACCAGTCATGTGAAATTCGTGATTGTGATAACTGCATATGCAAGGTACAACGTACACAGGGCATTTGGAAAAAATATTTCGGTTTTTGTAATTTGAAATATATAACAACTACTAATAAGTATTTAATAGTATGATTTCATATATAATGATTAACAGTTTTCTATGAAACGTAGGTGACGTTTTATTCGTTTCTTACAAAAAGTCGCTGACTGTACATAATACGAACCGTTTACGAAATTTTTATTTATTCCATTGACTTTGACTACGAAAGACGTTAATACCTATTGGAAAGTTTTCAATAGGAACTTTAATAAAGTTATTTACAAGTAATTTACCACTTAATTGTTAGAATAACGGACCTTTATGGAGAAGTAGATACAGAGGATATCATATATACTGAGAAAGAGAGAGCGCTTTTATGACTTTCACGTTATATGTATGTGAGCGGTTCGCTTTGTCATTATCTCTACCTAGCTTAACCTTAGCATTTAGAGATACTGTTCAGACAGAACAATGACTTCATTTTTTTATACAAACATTTTATTATCTGTTACATAGTCGCTTAAATATGTATGTGCCTGCATGTGGGTCCACGCACGTGTGCAAAGCAGACTGAAAAAATATTGCAATCAGTTTAATTGCAACCTCTGTGTTATTTTAAAGCATATTTTACATATTTGAAATACCGAAATAACTATCTATGTGGTTGTATGTGGGTTAAAAACTGAAACTATTATATTTAATTCAATCACAAACTCTGTCTTACTTTAATGTCTATCATAGCAAACTAAACCATGATGCTTCATGATTTGAGTTTAAAATACAGTAAATTGAATCACACCAAATCGATTTATCGTTTAAATTCGTATTGTATCAATGACCAAATTCATAAAAAATAGTGTGTAATTTTATGGCATGTTTAACATTATAATATCGACATTTTAATAGATATTTCAATTACTCTATGTTATTGTTTATGATTATAGTGCTCAATAAGTGCTTTAACACTTTTAAAGTTAATACGCGTTGTTGCAATGAAAGTAGTGTATGACTATAAATCTTAAGTATAATAATTCAATGTTCCTACTTACAGACTTACTATGCAAATACATATAAAGAACTGGCGCCAGAACTGTTGCACAATATTTATTTATGCTGTGTATCATAATAATACGTGATTATGGGTACTTAGTTACATAAATGGAAAACTGAGGCGTGATCCAGTTCGTTCGTAATTTTTATATAACGCCATATTAAAACTACGAGACTTCAAATGTCGCCCATTGAAATGTTTACAATCAAGTCATTCGTTAACAATTTCAATTCCATACATACCTATTAAGTATTGTCTAACTAATCTAACAAATATTTAAATCCATAATAATATAGGTATAAGTATGGTGTTTTATCTGAAACTACAAAATGCGTTGGTATCAAAGAAAATCAAAGGAAATTGGCTTATCGATTACCAGCTAAACCTCATCAAGGCCGACCGACAAGATATATTTTTATCGTAGACATAAAACTAAAACTACAACGAAAAAAAAACTTTGATTGAAACGTTTACCGAAAAACAGACGTAAATATTGTCCTTATTTCACCATCATGAACAGGCTGTACTGTGTAATTGTGTATTATGTATTTTCATTTGACGTAACGTTTTCATTGTTACAGATACTTCTCTTCTTCCACGTTCCTCAGTTATGATTATAAGGATACGATGGCTCTTACAATGGATCGCGACTCTTTCCTGTTTGATGATGACTTCAGGTACGATTTGAACCTTACGCTGTAGGCAACATAACTTAAATAGGTCACAATTGCTGAAACAGCATTTTTAATTGCAGGTAGCCCAATATTTTTGCAACAGCAAGGAAGAAATTATCGACCAGTTATAAAATGGATGCCACCTAACGATGACTGGAATTGGACACTGACACCACGCAACGAGGAACCATTCTTCCTTCCTTCTAATTATAATCACACTTTACCGCCATCTGCTAATGAGACTGAACTTTTAGCCCACATGACAGCGTTAAAAAGAAATTATTCTCGTCTCCTCTGGGACAGCGATAAGAGCAGCAACCTTCCCGTTTTTGTGGAAAAGGCTCTTAAACTTCTCAATCTAAAACAAGTTTATTACGAAGTAGAGCACTCCGTTATGTCTAAGGTGTCATGCACAGCGTGCAAAGCAGGCGCGGGATTACTACAGCATTACATAAGACTCGGTAAAAGCAAAGATGAGATTAACAAGATGATCTATCAATTCTGTGTTTCACTAAAGATTCAATCAGCTCGCGTGTGCGAAGGCATCACGAGATTGTTCGGGGTAAGTGAGCATGCACGCGTGAAGTCTATCAATAACATGACCTGCTCTTCACTGTAGTACTGTTATTGATCTCACGTTTATCTCGTTTCAGAGTGAAGTAGTTTACGTATTAAAGCGTATTACGATAGGACCAGACGAGATTTGCAGCTTTGTTATTGGAGATGCGTGTGGCGACGTTTACAATCCGTACCACGAGTGGGAAGTAGCATTTCCACCTGTGCCGAAACCTGCGATACGATCACTAGAAGCTCCTGTCGAAAAAGCTCCAACTTTCAAAGTTCTGCAGATTTCTGACACTCATTTTGATCCTTACTACGCTGAAGGTAAGAATTTATAGATTTTATTAGAATTGGTATTATGTATCTATCGAAAACTCAGAATCTTAACAAAACAGTAAACCGTTTTCAAGTCCATTAAATTGTTCAATATTAACCTTTTCTTGTTTCTAAGGTTGTTAATCAACTTTGTTCTATTTAAATTCCAGGTGCTAATGCCGAGTGCAACGAGCCCCTATGCTGTCGTGCATCAAGCGGTCCAGCACTGACTCCAGGCGGAGGTGCCGGTCGCTGGGGAGACTACCGCAAGTGTGACACACCAAAACGAACCATCGACCACATGTTGAAACACATAGCTGACACTCACACTGTAAGTGCATGCATTCATGCATGAACCTTAGTTCATATTTAGGATCCGTATACCTACATATTATGTGCCTATCTGCTACCGAAAAATAATGACCCCTTCAACTCCTTTGTCTGTCGACAAAATTGTCCTACAGTTTTGATTAAATAATAAGTTTTTAAACGACCGGATTAGGGTGCAAATCAGGTTTTTGACCTTTTAATACACTCATGATTCATAACAAATGAATCCTTCTGATTCACTTCGTGTTGTGTTCCAGGATATCGACTACATTTTATGGACTGGAGATCTACCGCCTCACGATGTATGGAACCAAACCAAAGAAGAAAATTTGAAAGTTCTCCAAGAAACTGTTGCACAAATGTCGGATATGTTCCCCGGTGTGCCCATATTCCCGGCCCTTGGAAACCATGAGTCATCTCCTGTGAACAGGTACTGCACCACATAAGACTCAATTAACGACAGTCCGGGGTCATTTTAATTATAGAGTCAACCTCCATCAAGAGTATGTTATCAACATGTGCGACACAGTTAATGCGGATGTATATTCCGTTATTATAGAAATCAACTTGTTAGTCATACATAATATTGCCTAGTGGACGGAAATACCTGTCATTCAGCACAAATCACGATTGTATAATTGTATTGTTTTGTTCCGTGCATAGTAGTTTTAGAATACTATGCAGTCCACAACATGGCAGTGTATTGTGTAGAAAATAGTGGAAATAGAAGTTTAGTCTTCTAAGAACTTTGCACTTTTATAGAAACTTTAGTAGCAACTTTAATAGAAACTTTAGACCTACTTACTTTACTTCCAGTTTCCCGCCACCGTACATAGCTTCTTCGGAACTGAACATCGCGTGGTTGTATGATGAGCTGGACGCACAATGGCGTCGCTGGTTGCCTGCCGGAGTCTCCCACACTGTGCGCCGTGGTGCCTTCTACTCGGTGCTTGTACGACCAGGCTTCCGTATCATATCGCTTAATATGAACTACTGCAATAATAAAAACTGGTGAGTTGTTGGAGATTTTCTCCAATTATACGATCGAGCTTGCTCAAAACACTTACCACTTTGCTTTTCTAATATTTCTTATTCATTTTCAGGTGGCTGTTAATGAACAGCACAGATCCAGCGACCGAACTTCAGTGGTTGATCTATGAACTGCAATCTGCAGAGTTCAGTGGTGAAAAGGTCCACATTATTGGGCACATACCACCAGGCCACTCCGACTGTTTGAAAGTATGGAGCCGTAATTATTATGCCATTGTAAACCGATATGAATCAACGATAACGGCCCAATTTTTCGGACATACACATTTCGATGAATTTGAAGTTTTTTATGATCCGAATGACCTTGGTAAGTAAACCTTGTCAACTTGATTGAGCTGCATAAAGGTTCTTTAGAAATATTAAACATTTCGGATGACATTATCCAGATACTTACAAGCTTTATGAAATATCCTTGTTTGTTGATTGCAGGTAGAGCCACAAGTATTGCGTACGTTGGGCCCTCTGTTACACCGTACTACGATTTGAATTTAGGTTATCGAATATATTATGTAGATGGTGACCATGAAGCTACGACTCGGGTGACTATCAATTTACTACTTACTTAAACATTTAGGTCTATTTTAATAGCTCCCCGACTCTACTGGATTGCCTTGTTGTTATGCTGGGTCTATTATTGGGCCAAAGTATCTAAGTACCAATGAAAATTCAGTGGTAAGGGAATATGTAGTAAATAAATAAAAATATGTATTGTTATTAACTAACCTGAATACATTTTTCAGCAAGTGGTCGATCATGAGACTTGGATTATGAACTTGAAAGAGGCTAATCTATTTGGCTACCCGATCTGGTACAAGCTGTACTCAGCTCGATCTGCATACATGATGCCAGCGCTGAGGCCGCAGGACTGGGACAAGTTCATTGACGAAATGACTACCAAAGAAGATGTTTTTAACTTATATTACAAGTAATTGTTGATTTGTAGCCGACTTCTTTAATATGAACTTATGCTTGTTAAATCATACCAAATACTGGTTAGGCCAAATTTGCATGATTAGAAAAAAATTCCAATACGAACCGTGTAATTTTTCAGGCATTATTGGAAGAACAGTCCTCGTCGCGGTACATGCGACGGTGAATGTCGCAAGCGCCTGGTGTGCGACGCGCGGTCGGGTCGGTCGCACGACCGCCGCGCACTGTGCGGTCTGATAGAAGCCCGCATCGACGGTGCTGCCCCCACGCCGCAGACCTGGCGCGCCTGGCTCTACAATGGCCTGTCTGTCTCGTGAGTTATTTACTTGCAACTTAACCAACTGCTTTGTACTTACGCCTTGTAAATATCGATGTGGATTATAGACAATTTTCACATGGCTCAGATTCTGGGACTGGGAAGTTTTTGGTCCAAGTACTTAACCAGTTTAACAAACAGTAGCGGTTTGAGGGTAGAGTTTTTAACTTTTATGGACAGGACTATGTCCAGCAGTGGATGGCTGACGATAATAATATCAATTGAGTAACTAAATCAAATGTATTATTTTTTAAACATATTATGCTAGCTCTTGCTAATTAAAGGAATTAATTATACATTTTTAATTAGGTAGATACCTACGGTGCACTGGTACATAACCACTATTTAAGTACATATACGCTTTAGGCGTATTGGCAGTTTTAATTTTAAAAACACGTATAAATTCTACATTATTTATACAATATTGAAATAGGTACTCACCAACATAAGTTATTGCAATGCCAAATTATGCAAATATTGGCCGGTAAGCTTGAGATATTCAGACTTCAGTTGGGTCATAAACGTCGACCATTTGTCGACTTACTTTTTAAGTAGAACATAGCGGTATATGAGAACGATAAAGCAGCCGCATTCCAATAACTGCCTACTGTCACTTGACTTGCTTTTGCACAGGTATAACTTCCTTTATAAATAACAGACCTACTTTTTGTGACCCCTTTCATATGAAGTACAGAAAATCGAAAATGTTATGTTTAAGTAAACTTTGGGCGTTTTGGCCACATACACTTTTAGAATATGATACAATGACGACCGATTTCACAGTTTTGTTTGTTTGATTTAAGTATAGTCAAATAGTTGACTAGTGAAATTGGGCCGACCGTATAGAGGCATGTTAAAGGAACCCACAACTTCTAATTTAGTTGTATTGTAAATATATTTTCTTAAATACAGAGACGTTCCTTCTGTACAACAAGTATAACTGGTGGTGGAGTTAGCCATAAGTTTGCAGCAGAGTACTAAGGTTAGTAAAATGTAAATACTGTAAATATAATTAGTAGCAATTTTTCTAGCAAGCACTGGTAAAAAAAATGGTAGATACTTTTAAATTGACAATGGTGGTGGAAAAACTAAAACGATCTTAGTAACTGTTGGTTTTTGGAGCAATACTATAAGACTACGGCAATCCCATGTAAAGGAGATGACCAGTCTCGTTTCTTGACATATAAGTATTCTCATAGAGCATAATTCTAGACTTCGTGTTACACAAGTATATACAAATATATATGTGAATTGACTGCACGGTTGCGGGTTGGCACGGTGGCTGGGCAACTGGCTGCCGCGGAACGTGTCGCGGGTTCGATTCTCGCAAGGAACAATTCTTTGTGTGATCCACAGATTGTTGTTCCAGATCTGGGTGTCATGTGTATGTGAACTTGTATGTTTGTAAACGCACCCACGATACAGGAGACAATCTTAGTGTGGGGCAACTTTTTTATAAAATAAAAATAATTTGAAATTGATACTCGAAACACTGCATAGCCCGGGGATCCGGAGATGAGGGTCTATAAGTCGCACATGACGTTACCAACGAAACAAAAACATATTTAATGTTTGTTTATAACACATTGTAATCATATTTGTACTTTTTCAGAATGTCTATGATAATGCAAATACCTCAAGTGGCGTATCAAATACCAAAGTTCGTGATGGGGCTCGGCTGAAAACGTCTTTAAGAAGGAATGTGCAAAGTTAGCGTACCACCGGGCTTAGTCAAGACGATATTTTATATTTTTCTTAACGATCGTCCATCGCCTACAATTTACCATAGACCGTTATTTATTGTTTAAATTATTATCAAATAAAAGACGTGCCTTAATCTGTTTTAATATACCTACCCATAGTGTTAAATCATTTTAATGGTTTAAAATCAGAAATATTTGTAAGCGACCAACTTCGGTGGATTACTGCCGCAAAACTTTATGACTATTAAGTACTATGTATTTGTAAATATTAATTTTAACTGTATAATAAATAAGTTTCACAAAACTTTGGTTTTATTTATGACAATAGGAAAGAAATGTAGCTATGTGTGTGGTTCCATGGATGCAGTAAGTAAAGATAATTGGGTTTAAAACGTTTTTATTACCAAACAAATACATAAATTGTAATAATATTTACAGAATAAAAATGAATACTACTAATACATGTCATGAATTTTTGAATTTAAAATTATTAATTCGATAAAATCAGTATCTATTGACACAGATCGTCAACATTTTAAAATTAAATCTTGAGTATTACGAATTGTTGATAATAAAATTAAATTGTGCACACTTGGTCCCTTTATACCTTGCTCCTTAGTGGGGAAAAGGTATAAACAGCTACACTAAACTTAAAAGATGGGTCTTTTCATAAACAAACATTTGAATTCGACTTTTGAATGTTTAACTTTCAGCAGGCGTACTTCAATGTTCAGCACACTACATTATTTACAAAGCAATTAAAAGCTACACACACTTAATAACTACTTATCTTATAAATTAAGCAGTTTGTTCATGTTACTATAGAAATAACATCATTACGATACTAGTTCACATAAAGGTAAAGACTAAAGAAACATTAGAGCCACTTGCCACAGCCAGAGGTGGTATAGTGGTGGTAGGTGGTGAATTACTTCAGTGTCGAGAAACATAATTTTAAGACTTCCAATTTAATGTAACCCCTTCTGACTATGCCTAGTGGCCCGTGAGTTAGTAAGTAGAACATTGGCTTTTACCAAATTAATGTCATTTGATTCGAGTAAGACTTAGAACTTAAATGAGACTTCGACTCTACTAAGGCACTGGCAAGGCGGTAAGTGAACATACAAAATCCTTTGTTTTTTTCACCATTTTGAAGAATACATTACATGTTAGTAATTTCAAGGTAAACATAAACTTCGATGTTATGTGATAATACATGGATGACATGCTTACATTAAAAGACTAGGGAGCATTTTATAACATTTAAAATGTCTTTTGAAGAATAGCACTTCAGGTAAAATTGGAATTATGCAACACTTTCTCCAATTTCTTTTTTCATCAAATAGGTAATTGTTGATGTATTTATTGTCTATTTTATGAATTAGGTACGAACTTTTAATACCTTTCCTGAATTTAGTCAATGAAGGTGTGGCGAATTTAGAGAAAATTGTATAATTTTAATTTACTTAAGCTGGGAATTGTATTCAAATACTATTTATCTATAACACATTTCAATTTCACCTCGATTACAAGACACATATGTGTAAAAAATACTATCCAGTACATGTCTAGAGTTTCATACAGTTAGAGAAATAATTATAACTAATTAGGAGTAGTGATGTATTTAAAAACAGTCTTACTTTTGAGTAATTATTATTTAAGTGTTAGTGGACTTAATTCCTTAAATAAAATCTGTCGAAAACTTCTCCAGGCAGTCTCAGTTTCTACAACAAACTCTGATTTACTTTTAAATTTAGCTACTATATTAATGGCTATAATTTGTTTACAATTAATATTTTTCCAAGAACTATGGAACACTCCATGTTAGACACTTTTCTGCTTACATGATGAGCTAATTGCTGTATTTAGCGAAAACAATAAGAAAGTATAGTACTTGAAGTATAAGACTTTGGTTCCAAAAACATTAGACTGCCTGTAATAAGTTGCTAAGAGCAATTATTTAGATCTTGATCCACAAACAAGTTGTGGGTATAAAATAAGCAAACCCGTAGAAATCCTTAGTTAACAGAACCTTATTTAAAACTGCCAAACAGACTTTCTACTGACTTTGTGTTGAACAATAAATTCAATAAAGTGATAAAAATGGCACAAAATCAGACATGGGTACTATCCCCTTAATCTCAAGTATAAGAAGTACGAAATAATTTTAATTGATCAATCAAATTAATTCTAATTTCTCTATTTTTTAACAATTTCAAATTATGGAATGTCATATACATATAATAATTATAAAAAAAAAACACTAGTTTAAAACCAAGTTGTTTACAACAGATCACAGAAGTCTACGTAAGTTCTTCCTGCTCTTTCTTGTACCAACAGCATAATCACATTTCTTTCTTTTAGAGGGGCTCGGTGCATTTAAGTCGTACTGATTACAGCTCTTACCTGGATGCCTACAGCAGTTGCATGATCTGCAAAACTGGTAGGAGCAAGCAGTATTTGTGCACTCGACCCACTCTTCACCAGTAGGTTCCTCAGTCACTTTTGCTGGATGGGAACACCTTACACACGAGAGCTGCAAGCGAGAATCCAGAGATGCAGACTGAAACAGAAAGTAAAAATTTTACATGTAGTAATGAAATTCCTGCCTCGAGTCAAAAGTTTGCAGGTGTAAAGTATAGTTCTTTACATTTAACATACATATGTATTACACTTACTGTTTATTTAAGTTTATTGGAAGACATTCTAATAGGACTATGTAGGTTTTATAAAAAAAATGTTAATGCTTCAGAGAATAATAATTAGCATTTTAAAAACAAAATATACCTTGATGAATTTCCTGAACCGATTCGTTCTTGGTGAATACTGCGGACTGAGTGGAGTACTATTCATAGGATACTCATGGAGCTCATTGTGAATTTGTCTAAGGCAACCATCAAAAACCTTAGTTGCTCTGTTTTTAGTAATGACATGTTTTGCACAATTTTCTTGATTTTCTTTAGCATTTTTCAAATGCTTACGTATCTCTTGCTTCTTCTGATCACTGTTGTGCAAGTTCCAAATGTCATTCCATGTACTACTCACAGAACAGAAGGTGCAAATATCATCATTACTCAGGTATTTAAAAATATTTTTTAATGGAGGTATGGCACATTTCTGGTTTAACAATCCTAATATATCTATTTTTTGGTCAGGTCTGGCTAGAATAGGTTGTGTATTTCCTATTTTAGTTTGTGATACTTCTTTAGGTACTGGCTCTAGCTCTTGCTTATCACATGACAGGGAATGTATTACAAAGTCTAGCTTTCTACCGGATTTTCTACAAGGACTTAGTTTACAGTTCCTTTTGATGGGTGTTATAGGATATGAAAACTTTTGTTCACATATGTTTAATCTATAAATGAATCTTGTGTTTCCACTACTATGAGAGCCGTCTGATGCTAACGATATAGTAGAATTCTCTTTATCTTCACTCACTTCTAAACTCTGAATTTTCCCTGCAATCCATGTTGTGGGAGTTGGGATTGTCTGTTTTGCAGATTCGACACTCGAATAGGGTCGCTTGACAGCCCGCCTTGGCGGTGGAGTTTCTGGATTGTCATTTCGGGGTTTTAATTGGTTGTACCTGTAAGTAGTTTCCGGGCTAACATAATCCACTCGTATCTCATCAATAAAACCTGTTGTTGTTACGACTGATTGATCAAGAAATCCACTCGATAATCCTGAATGCTCCGGTGTAAACGACGTGTGGTATCCACTATCCTCAGCTTTGAAGTAACTTCGATTGTCGAAAGATAGGATAGATTTTGCTGTTTCGACATATTCGGGATGCACATCCATTGTAGTAGTTGAATTATCTGAAGTTTTTCACTGTTTTTCCATGGTAGATGCAAAGCACTACATCATCTTGAAGCAGTTTGGAACTATTTGCGTACATAATAAAACTGATTATCTACTACACAAGACTATTTTCGTATTTCATAATAAGTGACTAATTAATAATTCCTTCCATTTAACATATTTTTGTATATTATCAATAAACACTCGACATTGACAAACACATTCTAACGTCCAAAAAATAAATTATTAGCATCACAATCACAAACTTATTAGGAACGAACGATTGAATGGAACTTGATTGAAAGTGAATGAAAGTTTTAAAAATTCGAAATTCGAAAACGCAAAAGAATAATATTAAAATTATCTTTACTAAAACGAGTTCAAATTAATATTTATTTGCATATTTTAGGCAATGATAAAATTTAATTCCAACAAAAAAATTATAGATTTTATAGAATGGGTGTACTCTACAAAAATTGTAGATTTTGTAGACTACACCTACTCTATAAAATCTACAATTTTTGTAGAGTACACCTATGTTTTTAAGATTTTTGGACAAACTTTTTTTTTAATGCACAATCTTTTAACTGAAAATATGATCAATGTTATCCCCAGTAGTAAATAGTAATAATCAACCAGCGAATGTGCGATTCGTTAATTTACCAAGAATCCAATAGATAGACCAATATCAAGAATGAAGAATCAAGAAATCAAGATCAAGTTTAGTATAGTATTTATTTTTTACCAAATTATGTGCTTAGTCTATGGTTGGTATTTGCAATCTGTGGTTTGTGCTTTGGTTCACATTGGCGTGTTTTAAAAATAAAACTATATTCTCTATTAATTGATGGTGTTTTGCTATGATGGCTGTAAAATAAATAATGATTTGTTTAATTTTTAAAATGTAGTTCGAATACAAGCTGAAAAACGAATTTCTCACATATTTGGACTCTATTCTAGTATCCTCCCAGGTTTCTTGTCAATATGGCTTCGAACATGAAAGATTTGTGTAGATTATGTGCTAAGAAAGATGGGTTTCTGAAAGACCTACTGGACGAAAATAATAAAAATATTCTGAAACTGTTGCAAGATTTTGTTCAAATAATCGTATGTATAGCTTCTAGTGTAATTTTACTATGTAAGCCAATTCAAAGTGCTTGTAGACTATTATTGTCAAATATACTATTTATTGCTACATTACCTTTTAAATTTTACTCCATGATATTACATTGAATAAATTATTTGTTTCGGTTTTATCACTTAAACACTGCAATGAATATATACATTAATATTACACAAAACCTCATTTTAAAACAAATTACCTTTCTACTTGGTCTACTTGTGTTGTCTGCCTATCTTTTGCATTGTGTAAAACAACAATTTATACCTTTTTAGATATATGAAAATGATGTTTTGCCAACAAAAATTTGTATGAACTGTGAAGTCAAAATGCAGTCCATTGAATTATTTATTTTGGAATGCATAAAAGCACAGGATACGTTAAAAAAGATGCATGATGGAAATGTGGATGACATCAAGCTTGAATGTCCTCAGGCCCCTATTGAATTCAACATCCATATAAAATCTGAGGTATGTCAAAGATTTTTATGAATGTTTAATTGTCTTGTTTAAACACCAAGCGGTCACCGGTGACCGCAACCTATTGTTCTATAATTGTGTCTACAAAACCGATATTTGACGAGCTAATATCGCAGCAGATGCCTTGCTATCAAATACATGTGACTGTGTGTTACGACTTGATATTTGTAAGGATAAAGAAATACAAATCAATTAAAGCTTTAACTGCCAATAGAAAACTGTTGAAGGCAATTCCTTTCCTAACATCGGTCACTGGTGACCGCCATGGAGTTTAACATGTTAATCTATTTTAGTTGTTATTCTGATAATCAAACTGCAACAGATCAACAGGCCAAGACTGGCTGACTGGCTAGTGCTGGTCAAGCAAAATTAATTGTTTGTTGTGTAAAGTATAAACCAATAAGTTTTGTTTGTTTAATGTTGCAGGTTAAAGATGAAGTATCTGCTGAAGATATTGTATGTAAGTAACATAATTACATCATTTCCTTAAAGATTTCTTTCATATACAAGAATAGTTACTTTTTGATGTAACAATAAATTAAATTAATAATAATTAATAATTATAGTAAATACAGCTGTTCTAATATTAGTTAAACTTACAGGTGCATTGAACAATGATGCATCACTATCAATGATTGATATCTTCCCAGACAGACAAAGTGGTGATGATGAAGTAGACATACACAATGATGATGAAGATGATTATCTTGATGATATTGCTATAGCATCATTGAAACCAGTCAAACGACATCGCAAAAAAAGAAAAGAAATGACAGAAAAAGAGACAGAAGAGTTCAATAATGTTCTTAAAAAGCCTTGTTTAAAAGTGAAGGATTTTGTAAAGTAAGAATTTATAAACTTATTTGTTCCATTTGAATTCATTCATGCTGATCTTCAGATAAGAATATAATATCATATAGCAATCAAAAATGTTCCTACTTATAATAAAATATTTCTTCTAGATTGCAGTGTGAGTTGTGTGGAGAGAAATCAAAAACATGGAGCGGGTTACGAGTACATTTTCTAAATGAGCATAACCATGAACCATATGTGTACTGCCTCTGTGGCTTTGCAGTAAAATCGAAAAGTGTGCTTTACAAACATGTATCAGACCATAAAATAGAAAGTAGGAAAGTAAGAAAGAATTCAGATGAAACTGATGATGAAGAAGGAAAAAAGAATTTAAAATATGATAGTTTGAATGTGAAAGACTTTATCAGGTAATTATAAACCTACTAATGTAATTATATTTTGAACACAAAAATTATGAAATGACAAATAATTATATCTTTTCCAGATTTTTGTGTTCTCATTGTGAACAGGAGTTTGCGAGCTGGTATAGACTGAAAGAGCACTCTGAAGTGGCACATAAAGTGTCGCCTATAGTGACTTGTATCTGTGGCATCACACTTAAATCTAAGTCTGTTATGTACAAGCATGTACAAGACCACAGGAACCCTAATTTACTGTCGTAAGTCCTTACTGACCATAATCATAATATTACAAAAAATCAATTAATATTGTAGAAATTATATCTTAATATGGACAGGTTTTTCATTTTTATAGCTGTGATAAGTGCCCACGTGTAACAAAAACATTAGCTGCCTTAAATAAACATAAGATGCGACACATACCTAAGTCAGAGAGGAAGTTCTGTTGTGCATCATGTGAAAAAATATTCTATTCAAAGGAAGCATTGAAATCTCACGAAAGATCTCACATACCTATAGAGGAGCGGAAAATATACCGATGTGATATATGCAACATGAAGTAAGTTCTACCACAATGTACACATTCAAATAAAAACATAATTTATTAAACACACTTTAGGCAAAACTTTGTATGAAGTGTGAAATCATGTCAATACCTTATGGTTTCATGAATATAAATTAAATTCATTTGACAAACTGAGGTACGCAAAAAAATGACTAAAAAATACGCTAATGAATGTGTCAAATATTTTGTTAGGTTTACGACTCGTTCGTCGGCAGCGTCTCACAAGCGCGTGGTGCACGACAAGATCAAGGGCTACGTCTGCGACCTGTGCGGGTACGCGTGCGGGACTAATGGAGAGCTGCGCCAGCACCGCGCTATACACAGCGACGACAAGCCTTTCGTTTGCAGGAAATGCTCTAAATCGTTAGTATAATTTGCTTCCTTTTAATTACTATCGCAAGCAAAATTGAACTTTATGAAACAACAACAATGTCTTACAGTACCCGGCGATTTAATATACATCGACTTTTGGAAAGACACAATTTTGTGTAATATTAAGAACATTTATTTGTACAATTTTCTTCCATTGCCAATATTTTTATGACTTACTTTAGTTAGTACTTAGCAATGTATGACAAATCATGTGCTTTTTACTACAGATTTAAGACTTATTCGAACTTGAAGACACATTTGGATACTCATGAAGACACGTCGTATGAATGCTACATCTGTAGGCGAGTGCTGAATAGTCGGCGCACACTGCGCAAACATCTATTAGTACACGAAGACAAATGTAGGCATGTGTGCTCCTACTGCAACAAGGCCTTCAAGAGGAGACAAACTTTGAAGGTAAGGAATGGATTAGGTTTGGTTAATAGAAATTTGTTAAGTGGATAGATTACCTTGTTGTCAATCCTTTTATACTGTTGTGTAACAGGCGTTAATTCATTTATTTAAATTTAAAAATGAATAATTTATTTTGTTTAACTATTACCATCAGGTGCACATGTACACACACACGGGCGACAAACCACTCTCGTGCAAATGGTGCGACGAACGGTTCTCGTACGCATCCACGTTGCGCTCGCATCGCCTGCGTTGTCACCCGGACAAGATGGCACCGCTACCTACGCACGAAACTTATTCTGCCTATGGTCAACTCAGTATGCAAGAGGTCGGTTATAACTTATCAATATGCTTAAATGAAATTATGGCTTTGTAACATTCCATGACAGATGTCTTGCTACCTATTCCTTGAAGAGGAAGTGAGGCGCCGCATCATTGTTATAGAGATCGCAAGTGCGACTACCAAGATGTCGAGGTTTGATTCTCGGGTTGAGCAAATCGTTGGGGACGCATGGGGGCTTATAATAATTAATATTATAAATATTTGGATTTTGGGGCTATTGTAATATTGTCTTACACTGCTAATACAATTACTTCTTAAATCCTTTTTCTATAATCATTTTATCCTAAATTGCATGTTTTTTTGTTACAGAACTATATCAAGGATGTGCCACCTGTGAACGTACCGGTGCCGAAGAACGAAGTCGAGGCTATGTAGAGAAATATTGACTATTTTCAAAGAGGACTGTTTGCAATTTTAAAATTTTTGTAGAAAATATAGGAATAATACTGTGTAGCTATTATTAGGATTAGTGAAATGAATATTTGTATTCAACATACAGTTTCAATATTTTTGTTGGATCAAAATATTATTTTATAGTTGTCAAATTGTTTATAGTTGTTTGAATTAGCAATTTGAAATGCATTGTATTTCTTATTCTATACTTCTAGTGTTGTTAACCAAGTTAAGTATTTATCGAATCTACTGATTTCAAAGTAATTTCCAAACTTCACATAGTACTCGTGTACTTTTTATGTATAATTTAGCCACAAATTAAACTGTTCATTAGACAAAATTACTACTTTATGAAGTACTTAACATGTATGTTTATCCTCGGGCATAGAGAA